CCTTGTATAAAATTTTGGTAGATACCGACCTGGACATATCATATACTAAACAAAACCCTAACTATCCAGCTACAATTTAGTGAATAAATGAATAAGGTAAACAAAACGGTATTTAAATAAATTGAAATCAAAGTGGTATAGCCATATTCTGGCCGCCCTGTATTAAAAATATATTAACAATAACACGCTAATATCATGTATTACAAAAAGTTTGTACTTGCTTTAATAATTTTTGTGTCAATTACTACACCGGTTGTCAAGCCATACACATCGGGAAGTGTCCGAAGTGACCAGGATATATTGTTAAATGGATCAGACAAATATTTTAAATCTCAAGCAGCTAGGGAAGTTAACGAATCAAGTGAGCCTGGTATCCATAAACGTTGGTTATTTGATAAATTCCGCAAGACTACAATAGCACCTAATGAATTAGAATCAACAGGATCAGTTGAAACAAAGTCCAGTGCCACAAATGCAACACCAAGACCTGGCTTATTTGATATATTTAAGCCGACCCCAACCCCCACAACTAAAAAACCTGTTAGTGCAACAAAATAATTTTAAATAAGCAACAAATTAATAATCATTTATATTTTTAATAGGAACTAGGTGTATTGAGATTGCTTGACCCGTTTGGCGTAGTAAACGAGACAGTCACCATGGTGGACGATATAATGAACCCAAAATCCACATTTTTACACCAACCAAAACCATTTATGGATCGACTTATTGATCGGCTAGAAAAATCGTCCATACAGCGTATACTTATTTTGGGCAATTTTATCATAAATGTGCTGTATGCTATTAGAAAAATTGTCAATTTAGGGCAATTCGCGCATAAGATTCTTAAAATGTTTGGTTTCATTAAAGGCTAATTGTTGCTCAATAAATAATAAATGTTTTTAATTTTGAAAATATAATTTTAATTCTTGACATGTTTGTTAACACAATAAACACGTGGCGGGTAAGTGTATGAGAGTGAGTAAGTGTGTGTGTGTGTGTGTGTGTGTGTGTGTGTGTGTGTGAGACGTATGTTCACTAAAAACTTATAATGAATGTCATTAAAACAATTTACTACTCAATTCATTGACAATTCTTAAAATTAGTAAAAACACACACATTCCAGTTAAAATATGTTGCATGTTATCACCTTGTCAGTATATTTGATTTTAACCTTAATAATAATTAGTAAAATTACTGTATAAAAACAATAACACACTAAACACATAAATCACATGGCTAAAAGATTCAATGTAACACTAAAAATTAAAAATTAAAAAACTTATTATAACAAACTGGATCATGAATTACAAAAATTGTATATTTGTTTTATTAATCGTGGTATCTATTACTACATCGGAGGTTAAATCTAATCGATCGGGACGTGTGCCAAGATTTAATTTATTTGGTGGCTCGGACTCAACTGGATCAAATAATAATGGCAATATGCTAGGGTTAGGCAAATTATTTAATCCTAAATCAACCACAGTCGAAAATGAGTTCAAAGCACCTAGCACTATCCAAGCAACCCAGTCACCTAATATATCACCCACCACAATCGCACCTGATACACAAACTACGCAACCAGTTAGTACTAGCTCACATTGAATTATTATTGTAATATAATTAATTATACGTGACATGAATAAAACTATAAAGCTAATTTCTCATTTCTATGTAAAAATGTTGCATAAACTATATTTTTGATCTGAACAGGGTATGCTGGATCTGGTTGACCCGTTTGGTTTGACTAACATAGTGGGGTCCGTAGTAGACAAAACAGTATCCGGTTTGGATCAAACCATGAAGCAAGTAACCACCTTGGCAAATAGTACTATAACCGGGGTCAGTCAAGCTGTAGCAAATGTAGCACAGCCACTATTATACACTAATCCACAAACATCAATATCTGAACACCAAGTCAGTATCAGGATCCATAAAATAACCTAGACATTAATAACTGGTATACTTATTTAATATAAATATAAATTATTCTTTATTTATATTTTTAAAGGATCCAGATATATTAAATCTGGTTGACCCGTTAGGTTTAATTAATATGGTGGGTTCAGTTGTTAATAATACTCTCACCGGGGTCAACCAAGCTATAACAAATGCATTAGACATTGTGCCAACAACATTTATCGACAAACTTATTTATCAAGCAAAACATTCATCGATTAGTGGTATACCTATTATTGGAGATGTAGTTATGTCTTTTCTGTATGCTATTAA